GCCTTTATTTTTTCAAGATGAAGAAAAACCAAAACCCAGTTGTAAATGCTACAGAAATGTCCACCAGACCCACCGTCACGGCCCCCGCCCCCGCCCCCGCCGCAGCCGTAAACGGTGCTCATCATAGCCACCACTACTACCCTCCTACAAGCTCATCATCTTCCTCCTCCGCCTCCTTCCGTGGCTGTTGCTGTTGCCTTTTTCTCCTGTTTTCGTTTCTTGCTCTATTAATCCTTGCTGTTATCCTTGTAATTGTACTGGCTGTAAAACCGAAGAAACCTCAATTCGACCTCCAGCAGGTGGGGGTTCAGTACATGGGCATCAGTCCCACCACCCCTTCCTCCGCCGCCGTCTCCCTCACTATCCACATGCTATTCACTGCCGTCAATGACAACAAGGTCGGAATCAAGTACAGTGAGTCCAAGTTCACTGTCATGTACCGCGGCATCCCTCTGGGTAGGGGCATCGTTCCCGGGTTTTATCAACCCGCGCACAGTGTCCGTCAGGTCGAGACTACTATCGCCGTCGACCGGGTTAGCTTGCTTCAGACAGATGCTGCCAATTTGATAAGAGATGCTTCGTTGAATGACCGGGTCGAGTTGCGGGTCGAGGGTGATATCGGTGCAAAGATCCGGATTATTGGGTTCACTTCACCTGGTGTGCAGGTTAGCTGAATTCAATTTGGTTCAATTATTATGCAACTTTTTCTCGTTCTTTTATTATTTTCTCTCTATAATTTTTCTAAGTTAATTCTTTGTCTTTTAATTTTTCTATATCATCCGGTAACGTGCATTATGACATTGTAGACTTTACTAAATGTGTCGGGCATTTGGTACCGTGGATGTAGGTGGTAATTTTTATTTTTACTGGTTTTCCAAATTAAAGACAAATAATTAATCTTAAATAAAATTCACATTTGCCAACTTTTCCTTTTGATTAGATTAGGTAAAAGTTGTTGTTTGTAGGGTCAAGTGATGGAGTGTAATGTCATTTTCGCATTAAATGAGGCTTAAAATTAACCATAGCTCTCGAGTAGTTTTGTTGTATATGTCAAGTTTTTGCCTCTATATTGGCCATTATTCCTCATTAAATTATAATTCCTTTCTCTCTCT